GACTGACATAGTGACAGTGAGTAGCATCCTGGAGGGCAGTGTTCATGCAACGCCGCCTTTTCGTTACATCTGCTACGTAGAACAGTCCGACAGGGAAATTGAGGAGGTCCGCACAATAACACACCATAACATTTTATGCACTGATTGGTCGTTTCTAGCAGAACAACCCCTGCTTTTGTTCGATGAAAGTTTGTTGATCAGTTCAACATTTTATTAATAAAAGAATAAGAGGCTAAGACCCTCAGCTTAAAAAAGTCAAGTCGTTCCTGAGAAGTAGGACGTGGAAACGAATGGCACTGAAAGATTTACTTTGAAAATCACAAAATTCCATCCAAACGCCGGAAACTGGCATGCATATATAACTGAACGAAACCCCAGTGTCAAACTTGCCTGTGAAGAAAAATAAAAACTCTCCGGAAGAAAGTAAGGATTGCCTGGGAAATCCACTAATTTAGCGATTAATCGATTATTAACGATTATCGCATCGATTTTGAACGTTCTGGAATGTTCTAAGTTCTGCAGGTGACTAGCAACCACCTGACATCTCGGCCAAATTTATGGGGAACCACTAAGCTTGGTACTTGACCTTCCAATTCCAGAAGTCGAAGGTCAGTAAGAGACCTATAAATGCAGCCAAGGTCCGCGGCAGTTGTATAGTGTTTTGTTGAAGGCGGTTAACACGTAATGTTGTCAAGGTCATTGGTGTTCCGCTTTTCCCTTTCGTGGGGCTAGAAGTTTTGTGGAGCAGTAAAGTGCAAATTTCGGAATCGCGTCTAGTGAGAAGATTTTAACAGAAATGACAACAAGATATGGTGGAGAAGCGCTGCTGCAATCATAAGCTACTTTACAGGAATGTTAGCAAACTTCGCAAAGTACACGGTCTATGAGTAAGCGCGAACTGCCCAAGAAGCAGTTAATACCCTTAAAGATCATTCTACTAGTACTTTCCAGCATGCATTGCCGTCTCATATCATACGCACACATATCATATCACCACCAGGTCTTAGCCACATCTCCTCCACAGCCGCGGATATGCTGAAACGACCGATGTCACTACGAGAGTACAGCACACCTGGTCCGGGTAGCATACATTTCAAGTCACTGATGGCGGCTACCACGAGCTTGGCTGAACCATTAGCTCAGTTTCTCCAGTGCTCTCTGTACGAGATGTGGGTCTCAGCAATGTAGAAGCGTGGAATAGTAACCCCCATTTACAATAGAGGCAATCGAGCAGTGCCGGCCAACTACTGCCCGATTTCTTCCTGTACTTCCTAGCGCCATGGAATCTCTCGTCGTAGATGCACTTGTGGGATAGTTATAAAGGTGTCATATCATCGCGCAAGAGTGGCATGGCTTCCGCTAAAACTGCCCATGTACCACGAATCTTTTGTTAACCCGTGCTAGCTGGGATGAATCCGTCGACGCTAAAGAAGTAGTCAATGCGGCTTACCCTGATTTCTCGAAGGCACTCGATCACCTTGATCACCGGATTCTTCTACACAAGCTTCGGAGCTACGGGATAGGTGACGTCATCCTAGACTGGATTCATGCACCCCTACTCCAACGACGTTTGAATGTGCGGGTTTGTAGCACCCTGTCCGACTCGGTGATGGTTCATTGTGGCGTCACACAAAGCTCGGTGGTAGGACTAAGATTACACCTCATGTTCACAAACGACCTGGTGGAAGTTTTGATGTCGAATCTTCTACTACTTGCGGACGACTTCAATGTTTGGAGGGCAGTCAAACTAGCAGACGACCAAATAGCAATTCAGAGTGATCTCGATAAGGCTTACGAATGGTCGACCCAGAATATGCGTGTGTTTGCCAAGTGCAAAATAATGAGCATACGCCACCAGAGCACCTACCAATATCGAGTGAGAGAACAGGTTCTGCAGTGCGCTTCTCATGAAAGTGATCTCGGGGTGCTCGTGCAGGACGATCTCGGATGCTCAAAGCAGGCTCAGGGCAGTGGAAAAAGAAAGCCAACACTTGGGTCTAGTACGGAGGGCGTTCGGCCAGTTTGATCTTACCTCTTCGAAGATTTTCAAAGCTTACCTTCGACCACACGTTGAATACGCCGTTCAGGTGAGGCAAAACCATGAGCTCACTGCCCTTGAGAAGCCACAACGAAAGATGACATGTTAAGGGATTGCTCCACCTTCCTTACCAGTTGAGACTAAAGACTAGGAGTTTTTAGTGAACAATATCGTCTTCTGTGAGGTGATCTCATATTTGTGTAGCAGATCCTCGAGGACTCTAAGCATTCATGACGAGCTTTACTGAAACGCAACCACAACACCTCAGTGAGAGGCCACCATTTGAAGTTGACGACATAATATACCCGACTGAAACGTTTGCTCATTTCGTGTATTGCCAACCGTGGGATTTACTTCCGCACTTTGTCATATCTGCACCTATTTTGACCGAATTCAACACTCGAGTTGATGATGCATTAAGCCACCTGCAATACTTGTTGTAACCCAAGTTACTGGGACACAAGACAACCAAACAATGTGTACACTTGAAATTTGTGGTAAGTCCACTGCTACGCGTTTTTATTTTGATACAGCAAATTTTGACCTCAGCCATTAACTATGTAAAACTGTTTAGCGGTTGCTTTTATATCCATGATAAATCCGTTGTCCAAAATCATTAACTTGCAGAGATGTATGGACAGATGGGCCGAGTGTTACGAATCTTAGTTCACTGGATCCTCGCGGTCCAGTTTTACACTTAGCACACCCGGTTGTACGCCATAAGCAGTGCCACCAAAACCATTCAACGAAGCATAGTATTGTCTTGAGACTCAACACCTGAAGAGGTTTAACGCTGGGGGATCAGACGAACTTCCATCAGAACGGTTCAAGCACGGTGGCAAAGCAGTGGTAAATAAGCCAACAACCATGTTCCTGACGATCAAGCTGGAAGAAAGAGCTCCCTCTGCTTGTGGAGAGTGTAGTTGTCTTAATGTTCCACAAAGGTTCTCCTACTTTATGCGCCAAATGCAGAGGGAACAGTCTGACATTGGTTGCTTTCAAGTTATTAGCATCCATCATGATCGCCGGGATATCCCCAATTCGCGAAACACTATCTGGAGGAATAGGCTAGTTTACACCCTGATCTGGTAAGCGTGGATCAAATATGCACGTTTCGTCAGCTCCACGAACTGTAGACCTACCATAGTCGTCTTTTGAGCGGCACTCGGATAAGTAGACCGACCTGCTTTATGGCAATGTCTGTACCAGAACCGAGATCCCGAAAAGTAGACCGCAATCCTTTGGACGCTATATCCCCACACTTTAAACAGGGCATGAGCTTACGGCAAGCTTTCTGTATTATTCCCTGTCACCAATGATGTGCGACAAGGATACTCTATATCTCGGCTTTGTTCAACTTTGCGATCGAAGAGGTCTTGTTCATAACTTTAGAAGGGTTCCAGCGATTTTGGCATCGAACTCCTAAATAATCGCGCAATCGACTTAGATGACGCTGATGATATCCCCGTTACTCGGCAATGACTTTCCTGGTGGTTGAAGTGTCGAAATATGGTATGTGCTTAGCGTGTCAAATGCTGTCACAAGATAGACACTTCTTCCGCAGCTTCCCATCAAAGGCACACAGATCGAACACGTTGTTAATGTTGTATACCAGAGCAGCTGTCTTTCTAACGACGCACTATCTGAGAGAAGGTATTAGTATCGCTAAAGTCCGATCAGCTTTTAGCAGACTGAAGTATTTGCGGTGTTGTCGCGTGATCTCGCTCTCCTCAAATGGCATGGCTTACAATGCCAATGTTCGTACGATGCTGTTGTATGGATACGAATCCTATCCCAGTGGGTGTTTGCGGAGAATCGCTTGCGAGTGGTGACAACACCGAGTGCGCAATGGTGATGTCAGACACCGCGTACTGGGCAAGGCGGATCTTCCTCTCAATAAAGTTATTTCGTCGCACTAATTGAGATGGGTTGGCTACGTCCAACGCATTCCCAATGACCGATTACCAAGATGTACCGTAGTTGCATGCGCAGGTTCGTATTGGAGGAGGCCGTGTGGAGGTCAGCCGACCACTTGGTGACGGAGCGTGAAAGTATTGACACCATTCTCAACTATCTCTAGACCCATATGTCTACCCGATTGAGGACTCAAGATTAAAGAATGCCAGTAGCTTATGATGTACGACGCGATGATGCCGACCCGGTTGCAGCGGAAGCAATGTGTGTAAATTTGGGTGAATTTCGGGTTTCAAGAGCAGTAATTTAAATACACAATAAACGCAGAAAAGCGTGTAAAAGAGACAAAATATAGATCCGGAGGTGATTCATCATAATCCACCCTCAGTCAACAGCCTTTGGCATGTCTGGAAAAGCACCACTGCTCATTAGTAATCTAAAATACGTCCGTATAGCATCTAAGTGCTATGTCGTACAAGGTCGCTATGCAGAAAGTCCTAACTCGTGAGGCCAACTGCTGTCATCTGCACAATTCGTAACTGGTATGGCAGTGGAAGATAAGCTGGGCTATATCAGAGTCTACTGTCAATCATGCAGGTCCACCGCTGTCCCCATGGCTTAGCGACACAAGCTGCTGACATCTGAAAGTCATGGGGTCGGAACCCGGCAGGGGTCCGAAGAAGGCGCACCACTGATGAGACCCGGGAGGTCGAAATAGCCCTGTCTGGTGCCATTCCAGACGTGTCAAGACCTGATTGATAGTGAATTGTGATGAATTATCTCCGAAATATACCAAAATCCGCACTACTCGTTAGTAAAAATATAGATGTTCTTTGTCTTTCCTCATCGGTGGTTCCTTTTTCCTAGTGTTATGCATGTCCCTCTCTTTGATTCCTAATGCCATGGTTTCGAATTGCCTGATATTTATTTCCATATATATATATATATATATATATATATATATATATATATATATATATATATATATATATATATATATATATATATATTGAAACATCGCAGTTGAGCAGCCACGGCACCAACGCACCTCATCAAAATCTTGCTTAATCAAACGCCAAAGCCGACGAGCAGCATCCAGATGGCAATCCCGCTGACTGGTGAGGAGGAAGAAGTTGCCTGCCAACACACGACCGCGTACCACATCGCCAAACCCGTGTGATCGTGTGGCTGCGAACATTGCCTCCACGCTGCTCAACTGCTGCTCCCCGTCGCCACTGGCCCCGTTGTCAACCCACTCGGTGGACGGCTGCGCACGGTAACCGTATTTGAGGCCATCGTATCTGTCAAAACAAGAAGGTAAAAAGGCAAAGGAAAAATGGTATCAGCAGCCCAGTTGCGCAAGGCTTCGCTGACAAGCGACCCTCAAGAGTCGCGTGCGGAGTGGGGAAACTGCGAGGGCACCCGCACACTACGCACAGACTCGAACCGGTGGACGGCGGAGTACAACCCGGACGCCTGAACCAATTAGCAACCGGCCGCTAGCGAATGGAATTAGGTAAAAGCAAAGTAGCAAGAAACCAATAACAATAACTCGTGCTGGCGCTTCATTGAGAGGCAACCGCAAACGGGATGAGATGCGTCTGCTGGGGACGTCCAGGTCCATAAAGAAGCGGGCATCTGAACTCAGGGTGGAAAGAACGGGAGCAGGAACCACTACACCACTGATTACTCCTGGCGGAGTGGGACTCCTGAGCAGGCCGATCTGCGCAACAGGTTGGACGGTGAAAGTAAGCCAGTAGAGTTGTAGGTAAGCAAACAGCAGAAACCTTCAAAAAGTAACTGCAACTGACCCATGTAACAAAATGTCAAACGAGCCAGTATAAGTCAAGTATTACCATGAGTGATTAAACTAATTTAGCAAAAGCAAATGGAGTGTCGACACAGATGACAAGACTGCTTCATTGAGGGAGTAACAGCCAGAAATCACGAAAGAAATCCAAGGGAGCAAGATGTTTCTCGACTGAGTAAGCAAGCACCATGTGGCTAAACGAGAATGCGCTATGTTGTCACACCTAGTGGACCCCCACCACCAAATCAACTCGCGTGATGCCTTCCAACAAGGCTACTGTACACCTGGACGTCACACACCAGCGGTCAGATGCCGCTTGCTGTCGGCAGCACAGGTGATCGCAATCCGGCTCCACAACCCAGACATGAGTGCACAGAAAAAAGTTGTCCAAACTCTTTCTTTACCTTGGCCACAGGCCAGCACAAAGAACAATGACGATCATGCCACTTCACCGGACGTCCTATCAACCAGAACAATCATGTGGTCTCATCGATTAGTGATCCACTGTAGTCAAAACTTACACGTCCGTTTAGTCCGGTCAACTGTGGTTGCAATAGCCTAACGTTGATCAGCTGAAAACACGCGTATTCACTACCTTTGTTTCTGATACCTTGGAAAAGTCGATGGACCTTTCCGACTAATTCACTCTCAAATCATCGATGGTCGAATAACTTGAGAATAAAATCCACATATGAGATTTGATGGACAGCAACAGAATGACTATCAGTCGGCCGAAGTGTGTGCGTGTGACGCGTAACATAAGTACTGGAAAAACGCCGAAACGAGAGGTGCTTTGCATCAAGTGATTTAACATAGAGTAATTCAAGCCCAAGAAGACTATAACGTCAGTGAGTTCTGAGTATCTTCGTTGATCAGATGCTATCATTTCTAATCTGAGTGAGTCCGAAGGAATGCCAACAACTAGGACAACTATCGCCGTGAAATGGAAATTCCTGCTAACCCTTACACGACCAGCGATACAATTGTAATGCAAAAGGGGAGATTTAGAGAAAGCATTTCAATAACAAAGTTGAAGAGGAAAGAAGCTACGGGAAAACCTATTGTCTCGCTAACTGATGGCTTTCTCGGACCCGTGTTCCAGATGATCTGGAATAGCACTGGCTTTTTCCATCTCTAGAGCTTTTGCAACTCACTAAGGTTCCAGTGAACGCGAAGACGCCTTGTCACGCATCGTTTAAATTAAGGAAACGCTGAAACTCGTTGCACATCGGAAGCCGTTAAGGCTTTTCGAACACTGATTGATGCTTCAGAGATCAATTCACAGTTACAACGTCTCAAATCGGGTACGCATCAAGCGCCAAAGATATTCTTCATGGCACACTTGAGACGAAAGCAGTCGGTGTTCGGCCCACCAACCTCACTCATCACTGGCAATTGGTGGATCAGTTCGGCGTGATATGGTTGAACTGCAGATTGTGAGCTCAAGTTATACGTAAAAAAGTTAAAAGATAGACACTTGTTTGAAGTGAGAAGAGTGAGCGCCAAGTGTGCGCGTACTAGAGCATGGTCGGAATCCAGTCATGTGCTCCAAATTAAGGGACAGTCTTGGACTGGTCAATTTGGGTCCAGGTCATTGAGAAAATTGGTGGGCACCAGGTGACGCGATGTGAACGCTTACGATGGAAAGCAGTGCTGCTACTAGAAAGATTATGATTGGCGTTCAGGTTGAGTGTGTCGTACAACAAATTAGGTGTTGGCTAGTGGGTCCCTAACCGAGGCGCGAACCAGTCCGCCTCTTATCAGTCACGAGTCAGTGAGAAGTACTTGAGCGGGGTGCGCATGAGCTTTCCGAGGGGCCAACACATTACAAGTGTTCGCGTAGTAATGTGTCAAATTAAGCCGACAGATGACAATTAAATGACACATCGTTACCACATAACACCGCTTCCAAGGTTGTTCATGAACAAGCGGGCAGCGAATGAAGGTTGGCCTTCAGCAACGGCCGGAATCAAGTTGTCATGGCCAGGCACATCGTTATGCTTCACCGGTCTTCGTTCACACCGAATTGCAACGGTATTAGTAGATGACACAACCAGAAAGCTAAAGAGCGTACCAAAATATTCAAATAAATAGGTGCGTTCGTGGAATAGGAAAGGGCCCAATATGTATGCATAATGGTTATGATGATACATCGAGTTGTGGACTTAGTGAGCAGAGAGTAAGAAAGGTAAAGTAACCTACAGTGTATGGTGAGTATACGTGTAACATATGGAAAACGGATCGCGAAAGTGTCCGCATCTTGACATTCGTCATCATAAGAATACGAAACATAGGCAGAAGAACAAAAGTGAGAACTTGAATGAAAAATCCAAGGTAAACATACTGATAAAAATAGAAAAACCGACACAGTCAGAAAACAAAGAGCAATCGTGTTGCGGAGCTCATACAACTCCACGAAACTTGCGCAGATTTTGCTCGAGCTCACCATAACAATACTGTCATCATGCAGCGACTTAAACTGTGCCGGTAACAACCGAACCCTCCTCAGAACACTGCTGTATCTATCGTGTCAAGCCGCAGTAGACCATCTGAGCTATCCCCAGTGAACGAAATGCTGATATCAGCAAGTCTCAATGCAGTCGTGCGACGCTAACCGTTTGGTTAACAATCTCAGCTCGTGTGTACAAGGTCTGGTGGCTAGGTCCATTAGGCCGTACCGCTACGAATTCGACTGACCACTCTGCGTGTTACGTTCGTTCCGACTAAAAGTCGAGACAACAGGGACTTATTACAACATATCGGAATTGGTTCCTGGCCACGACAGGTTGGGATGCGCTTCCAAACAGGAAATTCAGTCTACTTCGGGGCAGCCAACCACGGTTAGAAGTATCAAAGGCGAGATTTTCTTAAAAGATACATAAAATGAGTTGCGGCCAATGAGTTTAATCCAGACTACTACAGGTTATCAAGGGTGGGTGAGGGGTGAACCAGATAAACTGGGGTAAATACGGTTGTCAGGTTGTATCACTTAGATATCTCGACTGCCGAAAGTAAGGGAAGGGAAATAGCGAAACTTCAGGGGAAAAGATGTTGTAAACTGGTCGGGGTGTTTTATTTGTTATACGGCTGATGACTGAGTGGTCTAAGAGCCTGGTTTACCACCCTAAGCTCATCGGTTCGAATCCGCGTAGGGGTGGGCGTCCTCGCGGTATACTCAGTCCACGCGGGACTAGTGGTGGTCGCGTGGCAGCGAAGCCCCGGTACGGCGTACAGCTGGAAATGTATTTTTTTTATTAAGTTGAGTGCGCACCTGGCCATATTAGAGGCAACCTCTGCAGCACATAACACTGAATACACTGTAGTTGCCATCGGTGTGTGTGGCAGCCGTACTTGCTGCACCGTGCAGTCCAATTCTCCATCGTCCAAGCAGGAGGCCACTTCATCCCAAACCTGAGCGATTTCTTGAGTTAATCCGGGAGCATGGTATTCCACCGGGATTCCAATGCGTAGTCTGCTCGACTGCCCTTCACAAGCGCAATGGGTGGCAATAGCAGTTAGGCCGTGGTGGAAGATGCTGAGTTGATTGTCAGACAGTGGGATACAGGTAGCATCCATCCGTCGCGCCGTTTGGTCCTTTGGATTCATCCAAGAGGCCAGCAGCGCAGCGACATCTGAAACACACGAAGCAATCAGTGCTGGGACGTCCAATGAGTTGACCAGAGGGATGAGTCCATGACGTGATAGTAAACCGTAGGTGGGCTTCAGTCCGACCACACCGCAATGAGCAGCGGGCAAGCGGGCTGAACCCCCAGTGTCTGAGGCTACAGCAGCCAAGCACAGACCAGCAGAGACTGCGGCTGCGCTCCCACCAGAACTACCGCCGGCGATGACATAATCGCGTGCACCACCCAGCTGTTTGCATGACCAAGGATTGATAACCGGACCGGAAATTTGGCCATCGGTTGATCCACAGCCCATAGCGAACTCGTCCATGTTGGTCTTGCCGACCAGAAAACAATCGCCGTTGAGCAAGGAAGAGATAATCTAGCGAGAAAAAGGGAACAAAAGTGAGTTCAAGGTGACATAAAAAGTAAATTGTTAGGTAGTGTGTCAGTTCGAAAATTACCGATTCGGTTCACATGTTGATTGAGGAATGCCGCAAATAAGTTAGCGAATGAAACAAAAATGTATGGAATTAGATAGAAAAGACGGTTGAGGATAAAAGTATGAGATACCGCCAAATCACATTAGCTAACATATGTGGATGATCAGGTTGAGTTTTGCAGCCTCACTTCAGTTGCCGTTGCTCAGCATTAGACAGTAGATGGCAATGACGATCTTATGTGATCAATGAAGATGAGACATACAAGATTGAGCGACCAAGAACACCGGCTCACGTTCGGACGGACATCGCGAGAGGAGTGAATAGTTACACCAAAGCATGTGGGTGGAAAAAGAATTCACGGAGGTTATCATTTCAAGGGCGAAACCCGAGGATCAGGTTAATTGATACTCCCTGCAGCATCTAGTGCCCCGTCAAAGTGGGAGAAAAGATTAATCGTGGTTGGAGATGAAGACTTACCTTAATATGTTAAGAGGTCTCCAAATTACGGCGTCAAAGGCGATGGGAATGTGTGGTCACTCATGAACATGGCATAGGCTGCGTCCCCAGACTTGAGCACCATGTTAGTCTGTTCAGCCCCTCTTTACTATTAGTACAACGCAGCATTGGATGGTGTTTTAACTGGCAGCCATCTATTCCACTGACGAATGATTAGCTCTCAGGCAAAGTTCGCAAAGACTTTTCCCTGATACAATCAATAGGCGTTCAAAATTGGTCATAGCTAGAAACCGAGGGCATGGATCCAAACAGTGTGTCTGCATACATTCGATGCATGTTGGAAGTCTCTTTTGGAGTCGTCGTGCCCCTTCTCTAGTAGTCAGAGCATTTATACGTTTACGTTTGTGAATTTCAAATTTTAGTAGGCAAACTACATTAATAATCAGTAGAATAGTTCTCTTCCGTGAATTTGGAATTAACAATCATCATTAGCGGTACGCGTTAGTCGATGGTAGGAGGCACCTCAGCTACTGTGCCCAATACAAAGATAATTAAACAATACAAACTAAAAAAGGTATAAAAAAGTAACATAATGCTAAATATCACATCATGCATGGAATTGGAGTGTTGTTGGGGCTGGGAGCTAAAAGGGAGGGAAGTAGGAAGAGACTAATAAAGGCCACTAAGGTAGGCTTTTCGCCATGTCAGATAGTGTGTCTAAACAAATGTGTTAATCGTCCTTCGGTTTCCAGCCAAGCAGTCGGGAAACACCAACCGACGCCAACTCCGAAGTGAGGGAATTCATTCCTCTCGACCAAGTTATCGCTTGGCCTCTTCTTCCATCCACATCCCCGGGGCACAAGCAGTTCACGATGCAGGAACAATGGAACAATGGTGTATGACGGGTAAAAAAGCATACACTTAACGAGTCCCGCAGGTTGGCAATAGAAATACTAACAAATTGGCAAACCACATAAGTGGTTGAAGTAAGGAGCGTCAGTGAGATAAAAAGGTAGAAGTATAACAGTTTTAGGAGGATAAAGTGGTACGACGCAAAACTGGCTAAGAAATTGTTATCGCTGGTGATGGAAGCAAATAAAAATGGAGTACTCACCGGTTCGCACAGATTTACGACCGTGAATTTGGGGTATAAATCCAAAGAGGCTGGTCAGCCTAAATATATACATGCGCAACACGTAGTCCAGCCATCGGAGCCTGGTGCGCGGCATACTGGTTCTGAGCGGTTCACTCGTTCCTCCAGCATCAAATACGCGGCGCAGAACGCGCTCATTGCTCACGCGGTGTTCGCGCCAGACATGAGCTATGCTGCGAAGGCAGCGATAGTCGAACGTAACAAGCCTTTTTAAGCCTGTCGATTTGATGGGTCAGATTTCGCAACCATACAGGATGGTTGAACGAACAGTTGCACTGTAGTCGTTGCCTTGCAGAGCGAGAGTAATGTTACACCGGCGCCATAAGTGGCAGAGATTGGTCGAAAGCGTAATCAAGGAACGTCGAGCCAAGGCACGTGCTCGCGGTAGTCCAACTAACGGGGTTTGTGAAGAGCATGCTATCGTAGCGTGTCAGTAGTCCCCTTCTTCATTAGTTCATTTGAAAAATGTTATTCTAGGGGCTACGTGAAAAGTGCTGAACTATGTCGGGGTCTCTGAGACCATGGCCAGGGGTAGTTGTTTTTGTTAATAATTCTTGGTCCCCACCAGCAAGATATATGTTGGTTTCACTTGAAACAATTCACCAAGCGAATTTCCAAGGAGGATATAATCAGAATGGTGTTCAGACAAATTTGATTAGTGAGTGTGTTAGGAAATATCACATTCGCGCATGACTTGTTCGTGACCGACAACCCATACCACAGGACGGCGTAGTGAATAGAAAGAAATGAAAAGTGGCAACCGAGCCAACAATAGTGGGGAGTTGCATTTTCCGTGTCTCCTAAAGTCATACCAAGTGCGTATTCGTCTGATGTACTCATATGGTGAAACCATGCAGGCGAATACGCGGCTAAGCACAGTATTCCAGTGCTCCTTGCGAGCGCTTTACTCATGGTCTCCCTGAAACCACACGGTCGGGCCTTAAGGGCAAACTTTATTCAGTGTTGTTGGTAAAACGGGGCCACAGTGAAGTCGAGGCGTATCGTCGACGCTTCCGATCCAAGTTGTAGCTGGGTTATTACTGATTGCATGACATAACCAAGGGCTAAGCTAGGTATGAAGTGGATTGTCAGAAGAGACAATGTTAAAAACGATTTCACGTAGGACGCTAGACTAAAAGTCGACTAGAAACCGAGGGCATGGATCCAAATAGTGTGTCTGCATACATTCGATGCATGTTGGAAGTCTCTTTTGGAGTCGTCGTGCCCCTTCTCTAGTAGCCAGAGCATTTATACGGTTCCCTCACACATCGTTACGGTTTAGTTTCGATGGACCTTCGCGTCGGTGCGTCAAGGTACAGTGTTCGCGTAGTAGCTAGTTCCGCACATTCACAAAGCCGTATAAATTTTTGAAGGAGGGTTCTCTACTGGTCTGAATGGTAGCAGTTCCTTTCTTGGCCTACGCAACCTGCTGAGAATAGGGAAGTCTTCGAAAGACAGATGCTACCGTCACCATCGTGTTCATATCTGCTTGGTAGTTTAGCAGTAGTAGTGTTGAGACACGCTTTCATTTGTCCTGATAAGCTACGTAACTCGTCTGGAGCGTTGGCTTTTACCAGCGGTACTTTAACTAAGTGATCAATGTAAGCTCTAGCTATCAAATGTGGTCGTCCGAATATAGACATTAGCGTCTCCAAAGCATCTCGTAAACCATTCTCTGGATCAAGTATTACACAACTTTTGATTGCTTTTCTTGCGTACTCGTCGCAGTAATTGATCAAATAAGAGAGCCGTAATACTGGACTTGATATGGCTTTCATAACATTTGCGTTGGAACTGCGGATGAACACCCACTACCGTCGAGGATCACCGTCAAAGCGCAGCATTTCTTTTTTCGGCAGTCCAAGCAAGTTATCCGGCGTGCTGGCGTTAAAGATAGTCTCGTTACGTCCGCCAAGCGGTTGGCTTTAGAAACTGACAAAGTTTTCCGGCAGAAATCGAACCAGTGCATAACCGACGCACAAACACGCCGGACTACAGTTGGCTTGGCTGTAAATTGTATACCAGCACGCGAGTTGGTAAAATGGATACCGCACGGTTCACAAGAAAACAGGATTTTAGCTCAGCATAACGGCACCAGCCAGCCTTACGTTCTCCTCCTTTAAAGCAAACGTATCTAGAAGTCGTTCTAAATCCTTGATTCCATATAACGCAATTGACAACTGCTCAGCTGCGGGCATTGGCTTTAATCTATCACCATCCTATGATGGTTCTGATGCAGAAAGTTCAGCAATTATTTATTTATAAGCGAGTTGTAGAGTATTTGTTTGTTACTGCTACTGACTTAGATGGAGCGGGACGATTCACTAAACTTACGCAAGGTCTTGGCTGCAAAGTAAGGGCAGTGGGCAGAATAAATTGTGACATTATTCGTGGTTCTAAAATCCTAGTTTACATAAAACAACGCAATGTACGTATGAATAAATGAAACAACTCGTAAACAGGACAAAAGTAAATCCACAAATCGAGCAATGAACGTCGCGAGCACGTCACAGAAACGGCACAGTAAAAACGAACGCGATAAAGTTCACAAATTTGAAGAAAAATAGCAACAGAATAAATATAAATCTGCAAATTTCAGCAAAATTCGTCAGCTTGCAACTGTATGAAGCATCGATAGTCATTCAGCTAGTTGATAGAAAGCAAACTACTCATTAATGGACAGTAAAATAATTTACCTTCGTAGTTGAAATTCATAGAAAGAGCTAACTACTCATTAATGGTCAGTAGTACAGCTTACTTACGTAAATTTCAAATTATAGAAGGCAAACTACATTAATAGTAGAATAGTTCACTTCCGTGAATCTGGAATTCACAATCATCATTAGCGGTGTGCGTTAGTCGATCGTAGGAGGCACCTCAGCTACCGTACCCAATACAAAGATAATTAAACAATACAAACTAAAAAAGGTATAAAAAAGTAACATAATGCTAAATATCACATCATGCATGGAATTGGAGTGTTGTTGGGGCTGGGAGCTAAAAGGGAGGGAAGTAGGAAGAGACTAATAAAGGCCACTAAGGTCGGCTCTTCGCTATGTCAGATAGTGTGTCTAAACAAATGTGTTAATCGTCCTTCAGTCCCCAGCCAAGCAGTCGGGAAACACCAACCGACGCGAACTCCGAAGTGAAGGAGTTCATTCATCTCCACCAAGTTATCGTTTGGCCTCTTCTTCCATCCACATCCCCGGGGCACAAGCAGTTCACGATGCAGGAGTCCCTGTGCTGACATGCGCAACACGTAGTCTAGCCATCGGAGCC